TTGTAGCTCCTTAAAGACATAAGTCATCAAGAATTCAAGTTCCTTTGCTTAATGAAGAGCCGCTTCACACACATGCACAGAATGTTTCAAGGGGGTCTGGGCTGGCTTCCTAGCTTCCTGGGGCGAGGCTGGGGTAAAGAAGACTATGGGGTTGGGGTGAGGGGTGAAGACTCTACTTTTCCTCTTCCAGTCTAGCCAGTCTAGGAAGATAGAATTCTGACAGGCAAATCCACCTGGGTGGAAGAATCACAGGTCTGCAACCTCGATGCCCTGGGGCTTACTTGAGAAAATGAAGTTGACACTGGGGAGGACGAGCCAAAGAACACACATGGGAGAATGCTTGTGGAGATTCTCAAGGTCAGCGGATATTTGCTGGGGCCTTATTTGGATCAAGAATTGCTCTGATGAGAAGATGGCCAATCAAATCAAGCCCTTCCATGTCATATGTCAGTGGTGGAATGAACCTTGAAGGTCATCTGAATGGATCCCTTGCCCAGGAGAAAGTGAGCCCAAAGAGGACAGGGATGTGAGGACAAGAATCCAAGCTCTTGTTCTTTCCCAAGCTACCCAGCCACCGAGTGTGCAATGCCTCCATCCTGAGCACCCAGGTGCCAGCCTCGTAGCTTGATCCCATGACTCCCCAGAGCAGCCTCGTCTGCTCCTAGGCTGCAGCCTCAGCCCTCTGTCCTTGGATAGCAGAAGTCATCTTCTTGCCCTCCATTCAGGCTGATGGACCTCTGAGTATCTCAGGGTATTTTCATCCCCCTTCTCATCTTACCTCCTTCCCTCTGTCCACCCCAACCAGGAGGCTGTAGGAGACACAGGGCCATGGAAGGTCGAAGAAAAGGCTGGTACAGCCCATGGAAGACCTCTCAGAACAGCATGTGAGTAGACACTCTGTGGTACTATACCCCCTTCCCACACACACATCTTCTCTCCAGACACTCACTCATGCATCCATCAAGTGCTTGTTGAGAATCTGTTTTGTGCTCGTTGGAGTGTAAGACACAGGCACCAGACTCGCATGGCAAATATTCCTTGGAATGGGCATCACCACTCCCCTAAAGGAGTTCTCCTACCACAAGGGAAAGTGAGAGTCCCATCCAGAGACTCGGTGTGGCTGCTATCAGATTTGACAGAGGGTATTCATGGAAGGTTTCCTGGAGGAAATGAAGTATGGACTGACTGACAGATGGCTAATCATTTTGGAGAAGGGAGTCGCAAGCATGTTCATACTGAGAGGACCGTGAGTAAAGGCCTAGAGGTTTCCTTTCTCCTTGTGGGGATGTGGTGGCACCACACAGGTGCTGGCAGGGGACTGACAGCTGCTAGGTCTTTCCTGACTCAACTTCCAAACCTTGCCCACATTCTGTATCTTGAAATGTCTCTGATTTTGCTCAGGATTGGGTCTGAACTTTGCCCCCCATGCAGGGTGGACAAGGATGCTGACTGCCCCAGATGACTGCACACTTCTAGGGAAGGTGTGTGTGTGTGTGTGTGTGTGTGTGTGTGTGTGTGTGTGTGTGTGCGTGCAACCTGCAGAGCTGCAGGGGCTGAGCCACTCAGTGAAGCACCTGAAATGTGGGGGTGGGGACGGAGGCAGTGGACAGAGAGGTCTGCACAAAAGCTGGACTGCCCTGGGCGGGGCCAGCAGAGCTGCAGGAAATGAACCGTGGTGCTAGTGGATACTTCTCTTCCCAGACTAAGCTTCCTGCTCACGGCAGGTGTCTGTCTGGTGTCAGGAAGACAGCAGCTACATGACAGCCTGGAGGACAGGAAGGCCTGGAGGAGCTGTTTTTGGGGGCCTGGCTCAAGAGGCTTATGTCACAGACAGTTGCTGGTGTGGGAGGGATGCTGGAGCTCGATACTGTAGGATCAAACCTACCTGCAGGCCAGCAGGAGCACCTTAGCCACACACTGCCGATCCCCCAGCGAGTAAGCCAGGCCAGGTCAGGGCAGTACCCAGGCTACTTGGCAGGGTGGCATAGAAACCCAGATAGGCAGCCAGGTGGTAGAATGACAAGTAATTCTGAAGGCTTCCTCAACCACACAGGGGCAGTGGGGGAAAGAGACAGACTGACTGGCTCCAGGAGCCTTTCCATTTCATGTCCAAAAGCAAAGAAATGAAGCAACCTGGGGCTGGGCAGCCCCACGTGAGCAGGGTGGGAGGCTGAGAGCGGTGAGAGGGACAGGGAGGCGCATGAATGGGCCAGGGCAGCCCTTGCTTGCAGCTGCCTCTGGAACGGCCATTTCCAGGATCTGGTCATGGAGGTCTGGGAAAAAGTGGAGGAAGAGTGGTAGGAGATCTCAGGCGCAGAGTGGGTGGAACACTGTCCTGAGCAGCAGGGAGACTGGAGGTGAGGGTCTGGAGGTAGTCCCGGTGAGGGCTGGCTGGAGAGGGGCCTAAAATCAGCCACAGTGGGGGCTCAGGGAGGGTCAGGGCTTGAGACAGTCTGCCCCTTGGGTTGTGACTCTTCCATTGCCCTGGTATCCAGTAAAAGCTAGGAGCTTGTGTGTGGAGGCCCAGCTAGTGAGGGGAGTGAGGGGCTTGGAGGCCCATACAAGCCGCTGTGATAGAAAGGGCCACAGCAATTCCTTGACATCGGGGAATGAAATGCAGGTAGGGCAACCTGACAGGGGCCTGGAGAAGAAGGGAGCCTTGGCTTTGGAGGAAGCTGGGATGGGGGGGGGGGGAATTGCCACAATTGGTAAGGGGTGAAGGGCCTGAGAGCTAAAATCGTGGATAGACTTTGGTTTTAAGGAAAGCTGAAAGAAGGGACTGGTACAGAGGCAGAGCTGAGAATGGAGAACAACTCTTGCACCAAGAGCCTGACTCTGCACGAGCCACTTCATGTAGTATGAGTATGCAACTTCATTGACACTTGTACTGGTCCAAGATTCTCCACACACACACTCTCTCAAAGCTGTACCTTAGCATCCCACAGTTCAGGCTAGTTGATATCCTTAGGCTGACTTTCTTCACAGAAAGGAAAGGGCAATTGTTCTATAGATAAAGGCTGAATAATTCCTTCCCCTTACCCCCACCCTCCCGGTGCCTGTGGGAGCCTTACTTATTTTTTATTCTGCAAGGCACTGGGTCTGTACTACTGTCAGGAGACATGATAGATTATACCATTAGGAACCCAGTAGGCATCCAGTGCTCAGGTGGCTGTCTGGATCTGGGTGAAAGAGAAGAGGATATGGTCAGGAAAGGCCTGGTCATGAGAACATTGAGAGAGCTCATATGGTACTAGGCTTTGGTATGGGTCATTCTTTGGCACACAAAAGGGCACCATACCTTCAGGGGAAGAAAACACCTGAGCATGGTCTAATTTCTTTGCTAAATATGCATTTGAACTAGCATTAGCCAGAAGTGTGAAGTGGGCACCCTTAGTCGTTGGCAACTTCTTCTCCAGCTCTGGATGGATTGAACAAGCAGAAATGCATGTATCATGAATACCTACGTTCCAGCTACCTGCATTAATAGGTGAGAAGCAGACTTCCAAAAATAGGAAACGACAGTGAATTTGCATCCTCAGAGCATAAGCCAGAGATGTGACAGGGGTTGAGATGGGAACCGTGGTAGACTGGCCTTTAAAAACTGTCTAGTCAGGTGCTGGTGGCTCACACCTGTAATCCTATCAACTCTGGAGGTTGAGATCTGAGAATCAAGATTTGCAGCCAGCCCAGACAGACAACTCTAAGAGATTCTTAATTCTCCAATTAACAAGCAGAAAAAAACCCAAACAAACAAACAAAACAAAACCACCATAAAGTGGGGGTGTGGCTCAAGTGGAAGAGCACCATCCTTGGGCAAAACACTCAAGCAAGTACAACAAAGACATGAGTTCAAGCGCCCTTGTACAAGTGTGCACACACGTCCAGAGGTAATTAACAGAATCAATAAAACCAGAAGGAGCTGAATGTTATACAGCTCAGTGTAAATAAACCAGCCTTGCAGATGGATGCTTCCTTCTGAGGGTCACTCCTATGACAGGTGTTAAAATCATGCTTTTCCAAAGGGGAAGATTGAGACAGAGAGCCCAAAGGGGCAGAGGCACTGTTTCTGTGGCTGGTGTTTTCGTAGCATTCCTTTCAGAGGTCAGAGATACTAGTGAAGCCCTGATGGCCACCAGATGGGGAGGTGGACAGGTGAAGAAGGTCCAGGTGGGGCACGGGTAAGGAAGTACAGGTAACCTCCTGAAGCTTACAAGGATCGCAGCAGCCAGAGATCAAGGTCTTCAAGGCTGATGGAGACATCAAAGCCTTTAAGGACCAAGAACACCCCCGTAGACAGCAGAGGATGGTGCAAGGGGTGGAGGCCAGGGTCTAAGGGGAAAGACAGGATGCCCTCCACTTGCATCCCTTCCAGGACGCACTTAGCATGCTGTTGAGATCCTTCTCAAAAGAGAAAACTGCATCTGAGGCATCAGAGGCATGGTCAGGTAGGACCAGCCTAGACCCTCCCAGGGCTCCTGGAGGGGTGGGGAAGCGAAGTGGAGCAGGCAGGAGCGGCGGGGCGGGGCCTGGAGGGGGCGTGTCGGGGCGGGACCTCGGCGCGCCCAATCCCCGTCTTTCCCCGCCTCTTCCCCGCCCCTGCCCTCTTTCCACCAACGGCGCGCCGCGGTGGGCGGTCCCCGCTACGGCGGCTGCTCTCGGGTGCGAGTGTCTGTTTCCTCCTCCCTTTTTTTTCCTCCCCGTTTTTCTTTTTTTTTCTCTTTTTGTGAATGAAAAAAGGAGGTCGCCGGCGGTCCCCGGGACTGCAGCGCCAGGCGTCTCCTTGGCAGCGCCGGAGCCGCGGGCCCGCGTAGAGGCGGCGGCCTCGCCCCGCGCCTTCCACTCGCGCGCGCCGCCCCGCAGCGTCCGCCGCGGAGCCCGGCGCGGCCCAGCGCCTCCATGACATTGGGCGCCCGGGGCGCGGGGCGATGCTGATCCGGAAGAGGCCGCGGCGGCGGTGCGGCTGGCGAGGCTGCTCGGGGCCGGCCGGCCGGCCCGGGCGGAGCGGTCAGAGTTTCTAATCCAACGGGGGACCCGGCCCGGCGGCTGGAGCCCCAGCCCTGCGCGACGGCACCCCGGCGTCGGGCCCACTCGCACGCGCGGAGTGACCCCCAGACATCCTACTAAAATGAGCGTGCCTGGCAGGAAGAGATGTGTTCCTTACGCTAGAAATTACCCCGTCACATGTAGTGGTGTAAGTAAATGATTTTAATTTCTGTCATGGCCGGGGCGGCGTGCCGCCTCGCCCTCCTCCCGCACCCCGCCCGGCCCTGCGCGCGCCCCTCCCGGGCCTGTCTCCGGGTCCCACTCGGTTCTTGCGCTCCTGCTGCGGTTGCTGGGTTTGGAGGGGCGAGGGACTCACCCCCGCCGGGGTCTCCCAGGCGGGGAAGATGACTTGCTTCGGCGAGCCGTGCACCTCCCCCTTCCCCGTTTTATTTTTTGTTTTATATCGCTTGTGCGGAGCGGGGTGTTGGGGGGCCGGGGGGGCCGGGGGGGGGGAAATGTGGGGGAAGAATTCCGGAGTGATGGCAGCGCATCTGTTTCTGCGGGGCTTTTTTGTGGTGGTGGTGGTGGTGATTGAGCTGGTTATTTAAACCAGTGGGATTTGGGCGTTTTGCTTGCGGCAGAGATGTTCCTTTGAAGTCAACTCCATTGCAGTCAGGCCAACTGAGTACTGGTGGAAATCTGAAGCTTTGCTAATGTTTCCACCTCCGAGGCTTTACGTGGTGTTTAGCCTTGAGCTTTTGGTTGCTGTGGTTGTTGTGGATATGACCATTCACGGTCCCTTCGGGCCTAGCTTTCCGCTGGGTCTGCGCGGTGGGCAATCCGTCCTTCCACCTTCTCTGCTTTGACAATGCTAGTGCGAGCGCCTTTAGTTCAGAGTCCTCCCTCTCCCCCTTCCCCTGAATCTCCCTGCCTATCCATCCTCCCTGATTTTTACCTTAATTTTCTGGGTTTTCCTCCCTTTCACGTTTTTTCGGAAGATGCAGGATGTGGGATATCGGTTGCTAGGAGACAAGCCAGGCTCCCAGAGAGATTCTGTCGTTTCCTTGACAACCAGACTAGTGCAGCCACAGATGAACAAGCCTCCTATCAGTTGTGGGAGGGAAAGGGGGCCTTTTTGAGCTCTGCAGAGAGTGTGTAGAGATATGGGGGTGGCAATGGGAGCCCTTGAGGTTTGTAGCTGGTCTGAGCACACCTTTGGATCCTGCCTGGACTTACATAGCAGTTGGGCAGCAGACTGGTTTTGAAGAGGGGGAAGGTGATCTTGGGACACGAGTTGGGGGAGGATACATCCGCAACTTTGGGATTGCCACGGGAGAGCAGTGAATTGTTATACCCAGGGCAGAGTGGCAAGGAAATCATAGTTGATAGATGGTGGGAGGATCTGAAGGAATAGGGATGAGCAATTGTGCAGAAAAGTCTGGAGAAATTGAAGAAGGGTGTGTCAGAAAGGGGAAGTTGGGGAGCTTCATGAATTGTATTATCTTGCATCAGCACTGATAGAGAAAAGTGACCATATTCTAGAGCAGAAATTATATTATTGCTGGCAGGCTGTCTCCAGGACAGTATTCTCATTTAAAACAGGCCTGATTAGACAAAGAGTTCTGTTGGCTTAATTGGGCCAGTCTGTATCTTAAAGAGAGAGATAATTACGCATATAGATATGCAATCTAGCATTATATAATACTACATTACATAAGAAGACAAATACCTCCTTCCACCCAGGCTCACTTGGTATGAATTAATGAAAATTCAAGCAAAAATTCGCCCCCCCCAACGCCTTTATACCCATTTTCCAGAAGGGAAGACTGATGCCCATAAAAGTGGAGTGTTTGCCCTTTCCTGGTTAGGAAATGAAATTTACCACTCCGTTGGGTGGAATGGGCAAGGATAATTTTTTTAACTCTGGACACAGAGGACAGGAGAAGGGTGGCCTGGGTATGGGTGGTGAGGGACAGTTCATTGTGAGTACCATTCCAGCCAGTCTGGCATCCTAATCTCATGGTCCTCTCTTTGTTGCTTTCTGACTTGTTGGTTGGCTGGAGGTCACATAACAGGGTGCTCAGGGGTGTACTCATACTAAAGTGCTGAGCTTGGTTGTTCTGCTGGTATCCTGGTGTCATCTCCACTATCAAGATAAGATGCTCCTGGATTTAACAACTGAGTCCCCTCCTCTGTGCCTCCTCTCCTCGCTGCCCCGCAGACCTACGTGACTGCCACCAGAATCTAAACTTAAGAAAGAAGAGTTTCTGTCTTTATTTTACAGGTGCACATACAATATTGGTGGGGAATCTATATTTTTTCTGTGGGATTTGTTATTTATTTGATAAACCACACCCAGATAACTCCTCTGGTACCCACATACCCTACAACTTGAGTTGAGACCACCATAGAAATGGAGTTCCTAGTTCTCAGATCAGAAGAGAGAAGAGGGAACCAGAAGTTGGTGGTTAGAATGGTTGCCTGGTAGAAAGAGCCAGAAGGAGCAGGGGGTGAGTTATATGTTCATTGTCCTGAGAATTGGGGCAGGAGAGCCCTTGGAGTTGAAGGGTTCAGATCCCGTAAGATCCCAAGGAGGAGAAGGAAGCTCTCATTGAAAAGCCCTTGCTGCACTTTTTTGCTTAGGTTGCCAGTGTTGCATCCACTTGAGCAAATCCCAGTTGCCACCATTACTTGGATATTTCAGTTCTGCATTCCTGCATGCTGGCATCCAGTTACAGCCCAGCAGGAATGGAGCTGCTCTGCTGCTGCTGGTGGCCTGGCTCAGCAGCGGGGTGACTGGGCAGCTCTGCACCCGGCCTGTCAGTCTGGGATGGTTTACTTCCTGTGGTCCTACCCCCAGGCTGATGACCTGCTCCGCCCCTACTACCTTCTTTCTTAACCCTTCTAGAAGAGTGGAGGCCAACAGGGAGGTTGCCAGCCAAAGCCCCAATCAAGCCCAGGGCCTTCTGGTAACAGCTTCTTAAACACTGCCATGACATTTTGACTGCAGAGCACCCTTCTGTGTATTCATTTGAGCCATCTTCCTCTGGAGGTGGACAAGCTGTTTCCTCTCTGCCCAGCATTGAAGGAAACTGAGGCAGAAATTCAGGCAGAAGCTTTCACCTTCTGCTTCCTCCAGCAACCAGTTCCTCACATACATATTAGAGCCAGCCAGCTTCTCCCAGGAGCACCAGTGGTCTAGAGTCTTCCAGCCTGAATGAGCATCCTCCTTCATTAGGAGTGGGAGGTTCAAAGGAGGCAGCTCCCTCCTCCCCCTCTCTTTCTCTCTCTTTCTCTTGGGACCAATGGGAAGGCCCATAGAGTGCATGGCCACAGCCTGTGGTTCTCTCCACCCACAGCTCAAAGTGGGCTTTCAGCTGAGCAAGGCACGTGGACAACGTGCTAGAATGAGAGGAGAGGAGGAGAGGCCCAAGGGCTGGGCTTGGGCACCTAGAAGCCTCCCTCTTCCGTCCCATAGAGGGGGCTGAGCTTAGAGGATGGGCATGAGCAGCCTGGGGCTTGGAAATTCACTACTAGAGAGGACTAGGGGGGAAAGAAGGGAGTCTGGGAGAGCTGCCACCCAGCCCTGACAAGTCCATTAAATTTTAAAGTGGCCCTGCCCTGGGGCATGCTGGGAAGGGGTGGGGACCTGGCCCTAACTCTGCTTCTGTCAGCTGTTTGTTCTGCTGCTGCCACAGCCCCAGGAAGGGGGCAGGGGTGGGCAGAGCAGGAGTGAGCTCTCAGGCAGAGGCTCCCCTCTCTGAGGGTGTGGGGATGGGACAGGCCCAAGGCAGGCTCCGCCGTGGGATCTCTCATGGGTCTCCTCCACTCAGAAGCCTGGCTGGAGGATGGTGGGGCCTGAAGGGAGATATGCAGCCTCCTTGGTGGCACTGCCCATCTCAGTCTGAGTGGGATCCTGCCTCCCGGGGGTCCCTGCAGAACGTCTGCCTTGAGAGTTGCCCACTTCTCTCTCCTCCGGGCAGCAGCACCAATGCTTGATCACGCACAGCCTCTGCTGAGAAGGGCTGCCTATTCTAGCCCAGGTCCTCAGTGCGCGGGCATGCCAGGCTGGCCTGACTGCTTCCTTCCTGCCCCTCAGGTCCCAATTAATGGATTCTGACATGGATTATGAAAGGCCAAACGTAGAGACCATCAAGTGCGTGGTGGTGGGGGACAACGCAGTAGGCAAGACCAGGCTCATCTGTGCCCGGGCCTGCAATGCCACCCTTACTCAGTACCAGCTGCTCGCCACCCATGTGCCCACAGTGTGGGCCATCGACCAGTATCGTGTGTGTCAGGAGGTAAGGCTTGCAAGGCCATTTGGCACATCTGGGACTTTCTTCTTTTTTGGGGGGGTGGGGGGTCCGGTCGTGGGGCCTGAACTCTGGGCCTGGGCGCTGTCCCTCAGCTCTTCAGCTCAAGGCTAGCGCTCTACCACTTGAGCCACAGCGCCACTTCCAGCTTTTTTTTTCTACTTATGTGGTGCTGAGGAATCGAACCCAGGGCCTCATGCATGCAAGGCAAGCGCTCTACCACTGAGCCACCTTCCCAGCCCTGGGACTTTCTTCTTTTGCCTGGGCTTGGGGTTGTCTGCAGAGCATTCAGGAGCCCCCTCGGGGTGGAGTTGGAGTGGAGGAAGCAGAAAGAGCCTCTGGAGGGAGGTCTGTGGGGAGCCCACCCCTTAGGGGGTACCTCAGACCATTTTTAATTTCAATGAACTAACTCCTGGGACCCCAGCTTTGTGTGGACAGTGCATCTTGTGCCATCATAGTAATGATATCGGGGAGTTGGGGGCCAGGGCCAGGTTGAGAAAGGGGTAAGAACTAAGTGGGGGGGGGGGGGAGATCTAATAGCAAGAGATCAGAGGCTCATAAGAAAATGAAGCAAGGATAGCTGGGAGCAAGGGTGGGCTTCTGAGGAAATCCCTTCTACACCAGGAGCAGTCTCCCCCTTATGGTGTCTCCTGCTCAGCTTGTCAACTGTCTTGTTATTGATTCTCCTGAGATTTCATGTGGTCCAATAGCAAACAATAAGCCATACCAGCCCTGGAGCCTCCGGGATGAGCTGGCACCCTCCCTAAGGATCGGTTCCCTTCTCTCCCCCATCTACCCCTCTCAGGTGTTGGAACGCTCGCGGGATGTGGTAGATGACGTCAGCGTCTCCCTGCGCCTTTGGGACACCTTTGGCGACCACCACAAAGACCGCCGCTTTGCTTATGGGAGGTAGGAAAGGCCTTGGCTGCCTGCAGGAGGCCTCACGAGTGGATTTTCCCTGCTTTCCCAAGGAACTGAGCAGCTCCATGCAGCTGAAGCTGGGAGGAAGGGGGCAGAGATAAAACAGCATGGCAGATGCTCTGGGTGGCGGAGGCCCCCTCAACTTGGGAGTCCGGAGGCCTGATTTGCGTCCCAGCTCTGCTGCCTAGCAGCTCTCAGATCTATTCTCACTGGGAGAGGGTTAAAATGGTCATTTTGAAAGTCTTAAGCTGACCAGGAGCCTCTAAGTTCTGAAATGCTCCATCAAATAGAGTTAATAGAGTTACTGTTCTTACAAGTTGTGTGGAGGATCATGGGAGGATCATGGGTTCACAAGCCAGGTGTGAAGTAGGAGTGCTTGTTTCCTTTGTTCCTGGGGGCAGGTAACCTCCCACCAGCTTTCTCTACCCATAACCTCTCCTGTCACTCCCCCAGATCGGATGTGGTGGTTCTGTGTTTCTCCATTGCCAACCCCAATTCCCTCCACCATGTTAAGACCATGTGGTACCCAGAGATCAAGCACTTCTGCCCCCGAGCACCTGTCATCCTGGTGGGCTGCCAGCTGGACCTGCGCTATGCCGACCTGGAGGCCGTCAACAGGGCCCGGAGGCCCTTGGCGAGGTAAGAGGGCTGCTGCCTGGGGAGAGGACCGGGACGCATGGGGATGGCTCAGCACCACGGTTCCCCACACAGCCCTAAGTGAGCGCCTCACCTCTCCCTCCATGTGGCACAGGCTCACATCAGAGCCGACACGTATGCTCATTCATTCATTCATTCATTGAGTCACCCTGCCATGTACTGACTGTACACCTACTATGTGAACAGTACTGTGCTAAACACTGTGGAGGAAAGTCAGGGAAGAGAAGGTGATATTCGCATAAAAAAGTTCATTTTGTTGGAGACAGACAGTTGGCTCTTTGGCTCTGTAGCTTCTACCTATGAATTTGACCGAGTGCAAATGGAAAATCTCTCTCTCTCTCTCTCTCTCTCTCTCTCTCTCTCGTTGGTCATGGGCCTTGAACTCTGGGCCTGGGTGCTGTCTCAGTTCTTCAGCTCAAGGCTAGTGCTCTACCACTTGAGCCACAGTGCCACTTCAGTTTTCTGGTGGTTTATTGGAGATAAGAGTCTCACAGACTTTCCTGCCCGGGCTGGCTTTGAACCACGATTCTCAGATCTCAGCCTCCTAAGTAGCTAGGATTACAGGCCACTGGCACCCGGCTAGAAAATATCTCTTTAAAAACTCTGTATTGAATGCATAAGGACTTTTGATCTTGCCATTTTTCCACCAACAAGACATTGTAACAACCATTGACCTAGTATGACACTGTATTAGGTATTAGAGGCAGTCTAGAGATGATTCTAAGAATGAGGAGGAGGATGCCCCTACATTTTTTTTTGTTTTTTGGGTCCAGTCATGGAGCCTGAACTCTGGGCCTGGGTGCTGTCCCTCAGCTCTTCAGTTCAAGGCTAGCGCTCTACCATTTGAGCCACAGCACCACTTCCAGCTTTTTTTCTTTTTTCTTATGTGGTGCTGGGGAATCGAACCCAGGGCCTCATGCATACAAAGCAAGCGCTCTACCACTGAGCCACCTTCCCAGCCCTGCCCCTACATTTTATATAAACTTGAGGACATTTTATTTAAAGGGCTTGAGCTTCCATGGATTTTGGTATCTGAGGTGGATCTTGGGACCAAACCCCCTTAAATTCTGAGGAATCACTGTATATGATCAAGTTACATTCCAATGTGAAGCATTGCATGCTAATTCCATTCAATTGCATGCAAGTAGAAAGACACTGTTATCACTGCTTTATGAAATGTATAGCTTTTGTAAGTTCATATGGGGAGGCCTGGCACAGATAAGGAAGTCCTCCTGAAGGACCTTATAGGAATTTGTCAGGCAGAAGGGAAAAGGCAGGGCAGGAGGGGGACCAATGACATGGCTTCTGAACAGAGCCCCTCCTGCATGGGGAAGAACGGGCAGCTCTCCCCACTACCGATGCACGTTTCCACTTTTAAACTCACCAGGCCCATCAAGCCCAATGAGATCCTTGCCCCGGAGAAGGGCCGGGAGGTGGCCAAGGAGCTGGGCATCCCTTACTACGAGACCAGCGTGGTGGCCCAGTTCGGCATCAAGGACGTCTTTGACAATGCTATTCGGGCTGCCCTCATCTCCCGCCGCCACCTGCAGTTCTGGAAGTCTCATCTCCGCAATGTGCAGCGGCCCCTGCTGCAGGCTCCCTTCCTGCCTCCCAAGCCGCCACCTCCCATCATCGTGGTGCCCGATCCCCCGTCCAGCAGTGAGGAGTGCCCCGCCCACCTCCTGGAGGACCCGCTCTGCGCGGACGTCATCCTGGTGCTGCAGGAGCGGGTGCGCATCTTTGCGCACAAGATCTACCTCTCCACCTCCTCCTCCAAGTTCTATGACCTGTTCCTCATGGACCTGAGCGAGGGGGAGCTGGGAGGCCCCTCGGGGCCAGGAGGCCCCCGCCCTGAGGACCACCGGGGTCACCCTGACCCACACCACCACCATCACCACCACCATCATGGGCGGGACTTCCTGTTACGGGCAGCCAGCTTTGACGTGTGTGAGAGTGTGGATGAGGCTGGGGGTTCCGGGCCTGCTGGTCTCCGGGCCTCGACCAGTGATGGGATCTTACGGGGCAATGGCACAGGGTACCTGCCAGGCAGGGGTCGTGTGCTGTCTTCCTGGAGCCGAGCTTTTGTGAGCATCCAGGAAGAGATGGCAGAAGACCCTCTGACCTTCAAATCTCGGCTGATGGTGGTTGTGAAGATGGACAACTCCATCCAGCCAGGGCCCTTCCGGGCTGTTCTCAAGTACCTGTACACAGGAGAGCTGGGTGAGAACGAGCGGGACCTCATGCACATTGCCCACATCGCCGAGCTGCTGGAGGTCTTTGATCTGCGCATGATGGTAGCCAACATTCTCAACAATGAGGCCTTCATGAACCAGGAGATCACCAAGGCCTTCCACGTCCGCCGGACCAATCGGGTCAAGGAATGCTTGGCAAAAGGCACCTTCTCAGGTATGGGGCATGCTTAGAAGACAGGGGCTTCTTTCCAAGCAGTTTTCAGAGGGGGTTGGGTAAGTCCTGGTAGCATTGCCAGTTGGTCTCAGCTCCTGGTCTCCTGGTGATGTACATGGCCACCCAGCTCTTGAAACTAAGCGCTTTGCCATCTGATGCTCATGTTGTGTGGCTTCAGAAGGAGTTGGGTAGTGGGGGCCCATTGACCACTCTGGGGGCTGATTGTCCCACATACCCACTGTATTCTCACATGATCCCTCTTTTCTCCTGGATAGATGTGACCTTCATCCTGGACGATGGTACCATCAGCGCCCACAAGCCCTTGTTGATTTCCAGCTGTGACTGGATGGCCGCCATGTTTGGGGGGCCATTTGTGGAGAGTTCTACCAGGGAGGTGAGAACTGCCTCCCTGAGCATGGGAAGAGTAGGGGCAGAAGAGGGTTCTACGCTATTGGTGTTCTAGGGTTCATCAGTAATGGGCCTTTTTTTTTTTTTTGTCTGTCGTGGGGCTTGAACTCTGGGCCTTGGCACTGTCCCTCAGCTCTTCAGCTCAAGGCGAGCGCTCTACCGCTTGAGCTACAGCGCCACTTCCGGTTTTCTGGTGGTTTATTGGAGATAGGAGTCTCACGGTCTCTCCTGCCCGGGCTGGCTTTGAACCTCGATCCTCAGATCTCAGCCTCCTGAGTAGCTAGGATTACAGGCATGAGCCACCAGCGCCCGGCAATGGGCCTTTTTTTGCAGCTTCAACTAAGGGAGTGAGAGGATACTGCCTGTAGCCAGGGATTTTACAGCATTCCAGGAAAGGAAATTATACAAACGTCTGCATTTGGTAGGAAGTACACAGACACAGACACAGACACACACACACACACACACACACACACACACACACACACACACACACACACACACAATTTAGTCCACACATAAGTCTTTTTTTGGGGGAGGGGGGGTCCAGTCGTGGGGCCTGAACTCTGGGCCTGGGCGCTGTCCCTCAGCTCTTCAGCTCCAGGCTAGCAGTGCTCTACAACTTGAGCCACAGCGCCACTTCTGGCTTTTTTTCTTTTTGCTTATGTGGTGCTGAGGAACCGAACCCAGGGCCTCATACATGCAAGGCAAGCACTCTACCACTGAGCCACCTTCCCAGCCCCACACATAAGTCTTATACACGGTACATTCCCATGTTGTGTGTAGGAAATGGAGACCCTAAGAAATTGTCTGAATGGGAAAGAGAGGTTAGAATTGGAACTTTTTGGCTCTTGGCATTGTACCTCGTGGCCTCCCTGAGACACATGAAACAACTAGACGAACGTCAGGGGTTCCAAACCACACTTACCAGTGTCTTCAAAGGTAGGTTTTATTATTAAGGACTATGGTGACAAATCAGGAGATGGCTGCTATTGAAAAGCAGTCCAGGCTGGACACTGGTGGCTCATGCCTGTAATCCTAGCTACTCAGTAGGCTGAGATCTGAGGATCATGGGCAAGAAAATCTGTCAGACTCTTTATCTCCAAATAAATACCCAAAAGCCAGAGACAGAGCTGTGGCTCAGTGGTAGAGTGCTAGCCTTGAACAAAAGAGTTAAGGGAGGTCACCCAGACCCCGAGTTCAATCCCCAGGTGAGATGCATCCATGAGGAACCCACCCAGGGAAACGGCAGGGTTGGCGCGGAAGCTGATGGTTTCTGTGGGAACGGGTAAGCAGGTTTAGCATTGGCTGGGGTAACTGGCCTGGTTGTCTGGTACTTGGCTCTGGGATGATTAGGTTGGGGAAATAATGGGGTGCGAGGTGGGCGGGAGAGGGGGCTGACAGCAGTCAAGGAGGAGGCTATTCGCTCTGGATTGGTTGGTCTGTTTGTGCAAAGGTCGGTTAAGGGCAACTCATTAGCTATTTTCAGGCAAGCCTTGGAAGAGGAAGTCTGCTGAAGGCCAGCAGGGGTCTAGGTATCAGGGAACCAGAATACATAACATGAGAGAGCATGCTGAATGCCGCCAGCTTTCCCTCTAGTCCGTGCTCCAGCTCACCCGCCCTTCTCCCTCACGCCCCACTTTCGCAGGCTCCTAGACTGGAAGCGTAGACAAGGCCTATCAGTATGTTCTTTGAAATGTTCTCCCACATGCTCCTCTCTCCTTTCCATACATCTAGACAGCAGAGTAGGCCAGGCTACAGGCCTTGGTGTTCTCCATCATCCCTGAGTCTGGCAACATCAATTGCTCATCACTCCCCCTTGTAGTAACCAAGTTCTACTTTGCACTGGTGCAGAAAGTTCTGGGCATCTATGTGGTGTTCCCAGCTGGCCTGTAATTGCTGTTGAGTGTGGGGATGAGGTAGTTGACTTCTGCTGAGTGCTCCCTCTAAGTACCTGCCTCTTAGTAAGTGCTCATCAGCATTGCTTCCCAGGGTCTAGAATGTGAGCTCCTCGTGATTTCTGGGAAGTGTTTATGGGCGGCAGAGTTAGGGTTGTTCTCTGCAGGATGTGGATATGCAGTAAGAGACTAGGATTCTCCGAAGGCCCCGAGGCCAGCCCGCTCTGGACCTTGAAAGCTCCAGCTAATTCCCAGCAAATCTCGTGAGAGTTGCGTCTGATGAGAAAGCAGTTTTTGTGGCAGTTCTGCACTGAAGAGATCCCAAAGGCTCAAAGCAGCCACTCGGAGCCAGAAGCTGGTGTTCCCTTTACTCATTCTCTATCTCATTTTGGTGGCTCCCTGGCAGGCACAGTGGGGCTGGGGCTGTGTTCTTGACCGAAATAACTCCTTCCAGCATCCTGTAGCTTCAGAGGAGTTCAGGAAGTATCCAGGTCTCTTCAAAAGATACTGTCAGCAAGCCTGGTGCCAGTGGCTCACGCTTGTAATCCTAACTACTCAGGAGGCTGAGATCTGAGGATTGCAGTTCAAAGCCAGCGCGGGCAGGAAAGTCCATGAGAATCTTATCTCCAGTTAACCACCAGAAAACGGGAAGTGGCGCCATGGCTCAAAGTGGTAGAGTGGTAGAGCGCTAGACTTGAGCAAAAGGAGCCCAGGGACAGTGCGCAGGCCCAGAGTTCAAGCCCCAGGACTGGCAAAAAAAAAAGTACTGTCAGCAAAGCTGGGGCTCAGTGCCAGTTGTTGCAGAGAAGGGGTCAGGACTTTGGGAGAGTGGAGGGGGTTGTCTCCTAAACCGATACAGATAGATGCTAAGAAAAAGCTACCTACCTGGAGGTCAGCTGTGTGGATCAGGCCTTTTTGGCTTCTGAGTTCCTGTCGCCCTTCAGTGAGCCTCAGTGCCACCTGCCCTCTTCTTCCCACTCCAGGTGGTGTTTCCCTACACCAGCAAGAGCTGCATGCGGGCCGTGCTGGAGTACCTGTACACTGGCATGTTCACCTCCAGCCCTGACCTGGATGACATGAAGCTCATCATCTTGGCCAACCGCCTCTGCCTGCCACACTTGGTTGCCCTCACAGGTAACTAGCCGGAGCGCTCAGGCACCCCCCTGGGGGAAGATCAGGAAGACCCTGGGGACTGATTACAGGTCTTCTGGCCCCTCTGTCCTCCTGGGGACAGACTACAGGACCAAGGGAAGAAGCTCTTCTAGAATGAGATCTGCTGATGTGGATAGAGTTTTTGATGAGGACATTGGTGAGAGTTGACTCTGAGAAATGTGTTTAGTAGATCGCCCCTGGGCTTATTGTGGTCTCAGACACGCTTAAAAGCCAAGAAATAGAACACAATTCCATGTTTTTATCCTCTGACTCTTCTCCTTATCCACCTCTTCCTCCTTCTCCTTCTTTTCCTTTTTCTCTTCTTCCTCTACTGTTGATTTTACCTTCTCTTCCTCCTTCTGGAAACACAAAGCAAACACAATTGGACCACTCATCCTCGTTTGAAAGGACTGTAAGAGCAGAAGCTCAGCTTTTAGGATAAGCCAATCCCAGAAGCCCCTTGGAGTAGAGAAAGATCCAGGAAGAGGCACTCTGGGACCTCGAGCCTAGGGCTCTGGCTGTGGAAGGAGACTGGGGCCAGTGACCCAGGCAGACAGCTGTTGATGTTGGAGTTGGCATCTGTGTTGTTGTTGGCCTTGGTACCAGTGGTGGTACTGAGGGCAGGTTGCGGGGAGAGAGGAGATCCTCAGGTCTTGATTGGGATTCAGTCAAAGGCCAATGTTAGAGTACCGGGGCCCTGGGAAAATGATCAAGATTGAGATACAGACATAAAAGAAAAAAATTACAAGGCATTATAGGATGAATGCAGAAATCCTCATTCCCTTCCCTTCCTTGCTTCCTCCCTCCCTCCTTTCCTTCCTTCCTTCCTTACCTTTCCTTCCTTCCTTCTTTCCTTCCTTCCTTCCTTCCTCCTTCCCTCCCTTCTTCCCTCCCTTCCTCCCTCCCTTCTTCCTTTCTTTTGTCTTATTAGGACTTCACACTCTTCCTTAGCTTTTTTACTTAAGCTTGGCACTCAACACTTTTACTTCTGGCATTTTGCTAGGTAACTGAAGGTAAGAGTTTCTCAGATGTATCTGCCCAGGCTGGCTTTGAACATGGATTCTCTGATGCCAGCCTCCTGAGCTGATCACATTATAGGTGAAAACCACCAGTGCTGGCCTCTTTCTTCTGTCAATGGCTAATCCTGTTGAGGACTTAGACTCTCTACATCAGATTACACAGATTACACAGAATATTAGAAGCTAATACTATAGTGGACTCCAGGGGCCCCAAGTTGTGGCTAAAGGAGCCTTAGTGTAGCAAGTGAAGCACATCTCAAGATGACAGCTGTAACTGTGTGTCATTCTTTGCTGCCAGGAAAAATAGTCTTCCCAGCTCACATAAAATTTCAAAATTTTAGAGGAAGTAATTCTGTTTTTAAAAGACAGTCACCAAATAAAGACCCCCAAGGAAAAAACAATCACATAATGGAATTTCAGTAAGTTCATTTCACTAGAATAGGCAATTGGAAACGAGTCAAAGCCCAAGCCATACCCTTAATGTTAGACATTAAAGTCCACATAGCTGATTTCCTCATGGCAGCCACAGCCCTATTAAGAATCTACAGAGAGTACCAGGTGCCAGTGGCTCACACCTGTAATCTCAGCTACTCAGGAGGCTGAGATCTGAGGATCGTGATTCAAAGCCAGCCCAGGCATGAGAGTCAGTGAGACTTTTATCTCCAATTAATCACAGAGAAAGCTGGAAGTGGCTGTCGCTCAACGTGGTAGAATGCTAGACTTTAGCAAAAGGGGCCTAGGGACAATGCCCAGGCCCAGAGTTCAAGCCCCAAGACTGGGAAAAAAAAAAAAAAACTCTCCTGAAATTTTTTTGTTAAAAAAGAAAAAAGATGCTGATCTTTTATTCCTGTAGAGTTCTCTGTGATCTGGGTTTTTGCTATTGCATTTTTTGTGTATTTTTATTTTTATTTTTATTTTTTGTCGGTCGTGGGGCTTGAACTCTGGACCTGGGTGCTGTCCCTCAGCTCTTCAGCTCAAGGCGAGCGCTCTACCACTTGAGCTACAGCGCCACTTCCTATTGCATTTTTTAATGGTATAGTTCAATATAGTCTTCTGTCTGCCCATATTTCCTATAAACTGTTGACTGGACCAAGAGACAGGACCAGATGCACAGTGTTTTGTATAAAACTCTTCATAGGTGTGTATTGTCTACTTTCCTCCCTTCTTCTGATATTAGTAGCCATCAAGTATCATTGCCCAGATCCATCAGTACTACAACTCATTCTGTCTTCCGAGAGAAACTTCCCTCACCCACTGTTTGGTCGCCCAGTGGTACAATTGGTACAGGTTTTGATTCTTTTATTTACCAACTTTTGAAAGAATCATTTGTTTCCTATCACCTATAAGAGTGACCAACTAGTTTATATGTATTTTTTTAAAGAATATTTTTATCAATTCTTAGGTTTGAACATATTTGAGTGTTTTTGATAAATTACAGTGGTCCTTATTAAAGTCCAATACTGTCCTTTTAGCCAGGAAGATCCTTCAGTGTGTCTCCAGGCTCTTAGGGCCTCCTTGTTATCTGGGTTGCTGAGATGCTTTAGCTTCCACTAATGCATTTCATGTACCACACCTGGAGTCCACTTCTCCAAGTCCTGCTTTCTCAGAGCTGGAAATGGCAGCGTGCCCCTGGAGCTCTCATTGCTCCTGGTCTTGTCTGTGGATGAAGCTGGGAAATGCATTCATCTTTTGTAAGATCAAATGTCTTGTGAGTTTATACTGGCATTCCTCATTCAAATTCAGAACCAAGGCTGTTCACTTCCTGACTACAAATGTCTTAATGTAAAATGCATGGTCAGTACACATTTTATTACAAGACTCAAATTAATACAAACAAGGAAGTTTTAAACCCATCGTTGAACTCATAGACTCCATAGTTTTTAGCTATATAGTTTGTTTAAACAAACATATGGCTTTAAATCCCCTTCCTTTCTCTTCCCTTCCCTTCCCTTCCCTTCCTTTCCTTCCCTTCTTCCTTTCTTCCCTTCCCTTCCTCCTTTCTTCCTTTCTTTTGTCTTATTGGGACTTCACACTCTTCCTTAGCTTTTTTACTTAAGCTTGGCACTGGACACTTTTACTTCTGGTATTTTACTAGGTAACTGAAGATAAGAGTTTCTCAGATGTATCTGTCCAGGCTGGCTTTGAACATGAATTCTCTGAAGCCAGCCTCCTGAGCAGCTCGCATTACAGGTGAAAACCATCAGTGCTGGCCTCTTTCTTCTGTCAGTGGCTAATCCTGTTGAGGACTTAGACTCTCTACATCAGATTACACAGTGGGAACTATTTAGTTTGAAAAAAAATAATAAATCCTCTCAGGGAATTTAGCATCCTTCTTCACTGCCCCCCCCCCCCCCACTGAGAAGACTGTGTCCAGACTTCAGTCAGCTGTGGTCTTTCTGGCCTGTCGGAACTTGTGCTGGTCTCTCCCTGCCCGTGTGGGGAGCCCCTGCTGTGGGTGTAAGAAGTGTGGTCCTTTCCTGTGGTTCTTCAGCTGATGGCTGCTGTGTGTGTCACAGAGCAGTACACAGTGACCGGGCTGATGGAAGCAACCCAAATGATGGTGGACATCGACGGGGACGTCCTTGTGTTCCTGGAGCTGGCACAGGTACCGTGACAGAGGAGAGAAGGGACCACAAAGAGTGGGCTGGGAGACCATGCGTAGGAAAGGCCTCACTGGGTGGACTGACTCTGTCATCTTCCATGCCAGGAAGCAGCTAGAGAACTCCCAGCATCCACGGGGCACCCAGTAGAGTGGGGACAGATCGTAGTTACCATTGGGCAGCAGAAGGGACCCCAGACTCAGACAAAGACAAGGTTGCTGCATTAAAGACTCTCCCTCTGAAATCAAGTCACCAACTCCTCATTTCCAAACAAAATGTAGCAGGAGTGCACCCCCCACATGGTAGTCTCTATTAACGCACGGCCGATGCCAAGCCTGTGGACAGGCCTGGGAAGATCAGTCCTGCAGGCTGAGATGCCCACAGCTTGGTGCAGACCACTTTAGGGGACCGATGGGAGGGGAAGGAAGTCGTGTGGGGTATGATCAGAGGAGGGCAGAGGCTCAATGGCTGTGGAGATCTGGTAGCTGTGAACGCCATGGGCAGGACCAGAGTGAGCTGATGGAGGGTTTGGTAGTGATGCCCAGGACCCCAGGTCGGCTTTTGTACTTCTGGGTCAGCTCCTTATGGCTCCTGTGCGCTTGCCTGCCCTGCACCTTAGAGCTGCAGTTCCATGGGCGACCGCAGACGTCGCTGCAGACCACCCGTGTTTCTTTCCCTCCCAGTTCCACTGTGCCTACCAGCTGGCCGACTGGTGTCTCCACCACATCTGCACCAACTACAACAATGTGTGCCGCAAGTTCCCGCGAGACATGAAGGCCATGTCCCCAGGTGAGCACGCGGGTAGCCCTAGCCGCCCCCTGGGGATCTCAGCTCCTGTGGGAGGGAACTCAGCTTGAGCTCTGGCTGAACCCCAGGGATCTCTAAGCCGCCTTGACCTCCCTTGACCTCGGGGAGGGGGACAGTCGGCCAAGGTGACTCCAGCCAAGCAGAGGGGCGGCTGGGACAAGCACTGGGGGACAGCTGGGGGCCTGGGACAGCTCATTCTACCTATCTGGGCTTCTGTTTTCTTAGAGGTGCAAAGGGGGTGTCGGGCTAGGGTGTTCACACTCACGGGTAGGACACTGAAAATAAATCCATTCCGTGCTGCGGCCCAGGACACACATACAGAAAAGTACTTAGCGGTGCTAAACGCCGTCACGACCCACGCGCAGATGTTCCCACCCCAGAACAGGCACGGTCCACAGCTTGATCTGCCTGGGCCCAGAGGTCCTCCACGTCTAGGGCCATTCTTTCCCTTCTTAATGAAGTTCTCAGGTGCACTGCAGGGGCTCCAGGGAGACATGCCCCTCCGCGCTCTGCGGGGCTCCCGCCCTGCTCCCACCCTTGTCCCCTCTGTGGGGCTGCACTGCACCTCCCTCCTCTCAGCCCTGTCTCTCCTTGTCTCCACATTGTCTCCCAGAATTTTCCTCACTGAAGTCCAGGTACATCCATACTACTCTCTTGGTTCTATACTTTGCATGGTTTCCCAGGTCTTCCAGAATAAGATCAGCCCTCCCTCTGGTCTAGCCAGTTCCAGATGGCCTGTACCTCTAGATTTCCTTAAGAGTTTCTGCTCTGTCTGGAAACTTCTGGAAACTTCACAATTCTCATCCCTGTCCTTGTGGATTCTTCTGCTGGCTTTGCTGCCCCTTTCCTTGTTTCTGGATCTTTGCTCTTTCCTTTCCTTTTCCCTTTCCCTTTCCTCTTCCCTTTCCCTTCTTTTTTCCTTTCCCTTTCCCCTCCCCCCTCCTCCCCCATTTATTTATTTATTTATTGTCTTTCCTTCTTTCTCTTTTCTTTCCTTCTTTCCCTCCTTCCCTCCCTCTCTTCTTCCCTCCCTCTTTCTCTTTCTCTTTCCTTCCCCCCTCCTCTTCCTCCTCCTCCTCCTCCTCCTCCTCCTCCTCCTTCTTCTTCTTCTTCTTCCTTTCTTTCTTCCTTTCTTCCTTTCCTCCTTTCTTCCTTTCTTTGTGACCAGTACTGGGACCTGAACTTAGCACCTGAGTGCTTTTCCTTATCTTTAACAACACTCCAGGTTGATGTTCTACCACTTGAGCCACACCTTTACCTTTGGCTTTTGGGTGGTTAAGCAAGCATCTAGGGACTTTGCTGCCCAGGCTACCTTTGACCATCAAGTCTCAGCCTCTTGTGTAGCTAGGATTACAAGCATGAGTTACTAGTGCCTGGCAACCTGCTTTATTCTTAACACAAAGGATCCCCATGGTGCAAAAGCAATATGAGTTGAGTAGAAACTGTATTTTGAATTTGGATCTTTTCCCAGGCTGGCCTACAAGGCCTAATCCTCTCTGGTGATGCTGGGTTGCAGCCACAGCTACAGCTCCCACTGGGCTCCTGTGATCTCAGGGGAAACAAGGGATGCTCTATAGGGAACTGTACTAAGCCAGGATGCTCATAGGTTAGGGGAGCCAGTCCATTGTCTTCTTTTCTTTCTTTGGTACTGGTGACTGCTAGGCGAGTGTTCTACCCCTTGAGCCACACCCTAGCACCTCTGTATTTAGTTTGTTTTTCAGCTAGGATCTTGATCACTTTTTCTTTGTGTGTGTGTGTTTGTGTGTGTGTGTGTGTGTGTGTGTGTGTGTGTGTGTGTGTGTGTGTGTGTATGTATGTATGTATATCGATCAGTTTTTCTTAGGCCTGGATTTGGACTGTGATCTGCCAATCTCTGCCTCCTGATTAGCTGGGAATACAGATATGTATTACCATACGTAGTTTCAATGCATTTTCAGTTGATGTATTTTCCACTGAGGATGGGCTGCTGGGGAGTGACTCAGCTCAGATTTAAACTGGGGGTCAGCTGTATCTGCACAGCCTCGTGGAGTTCATGCCTCCCTCATCCCTGGCATCATTTGCTGGCCTGGATCGTGGCAGGATAGGCTCTGTGCTGGTACAGGGTCCTGTGGCAGGGCTTCCATGCAGTGTGCATCCGCATCCGGTGCTCTTCCTCCCCTGACCCTCCTCCTCTGGTCCTCCTGACCCATCGCCCTGCATTCTGCCCCCAGAAAACCAGGAGTACTTTGAGAAGCACCGGTGGCCGCCTGTCTGGTACCTGAAGGAAGAGGATCACTACCAGAGGGCACGGAAGGAGCGGGAAAAGGAGGACTATTTGCATCTGAGGCGGCAGCCCAAGCGGCGGTGGCTGTTCTGGAACAGTCCCTCCTCCCCATCCTCCTCCGCAGCCAGCTCAGCCTCCCCGTCTTCCTCCTCGGCTGTGGTCTGAGGTGTCGCCACCTTCTTCTGACCCCGCTGCTGTTGTCCCCGTTTGCCCCTGGCCCTCTGCTCTTCTGCATCACCCCTTCCACCTGACGGGGACAAGGGGACGCACGTAACCAGGACCCTAGGGGCAGAGCTGGCCTCACCAGCCAACATGGCTGTGCCAGAGAGGAGCGGGCTCAGCACAGGGCCTGCCTGCAGAGTTCCCACATCCAGGCAGACAGGAGACACCTGCCAGGATTCCCACATCCAGGCAGACAGGAGACACCTGCCAGGAGGTGGGTTGCAGGAATGAGCTAAGAGCTCTGGTGTTCTTCTGTGGGCCCAAGGATTTTATGGAGTCCAAGGAGAGAGCCTCCAGCAGAGGGCTTGTCTGTGTGTTTTGGTCTCTGCTCAGGGCAGGGAGCCGTCCCCTTCCCAGTGAGCATGAGGGTCCTGCCTGTCTCCCGCCATGTCTTTCCATCCGTGGACTTGAAGGTTCCGGAAGCTCCGGGAGCACATCCTCACCGAGCCTACTCCGGTTCTCCATGGAGAAGTCAGGGTAGAGGTGAAGGCTTCCGAGCAAAGCGTCTGCATTCTGGAGCTGAGCTGCTAGAGGACATGTGGAGACTGGTATTCCGCCAGCGTCTCTCCTGGCTGGCTGCCGCGGGCCTGCTGGAGGTGCAGAGGTGGTTCAGAGCTCTAGGCTGTGGAGGTGTTGTTACCTCTTGGTGCAGTGAGAAACCTCTGTCCCCTCCTGCACTCCTCAAGATTTGGAAATGAGAGCAGCAGCAGTCAGCTGGGGTGGAGAGGAGGAAGGGTGGAGTCTCCACAGGGCCCTTCCTCCATCTCGGGGCAGGACTGCGTGTTAGGGGATGGGACAAAATGAGCAAAAAACCACCACCAATCCCAAGGACAGAATGAAAACCAAACACAACACCACCACCAACAAAACCACTCTACCCTCTGCTTTCCCAAAGAAGGAAAATCAGAAAAAGAAAAAACGACCCAGCATAGCTTACGTATTTATAAAGCAGATCAGAGGCCTCTGATGAGGAGCGGGAGGGTTAGGCTGTCCAATCAGCTCCTTACCTTTCACCTGGGGGTGGTCCTGACCCTCAGGCAGTTCCATATCCTGGCCTCCACTTCCTGGTAGCCTGAGTTGGCCTTGGTCAATGGAGGCTTGCCTTCTGAGTTCAGAGCCCTTGTCTGCCCATCGTGCTGCAGGCTGCCCCTGCCCCCTTTCTACAGGTGATCCCACAGATGCTTGTGGAGTGTACACTTTGGGGAAGCCTGGGACAAGGATCAGGTATCAGGAGAAAGGACACAGCTGGGCAGGAGAGAGGAAAACAAGGTTAGTCCACAGAGGAGGCAGGATGTGACTAGAAGATCAAAACTGAAGCTTGGCACCATCAAGACAAAAATAGGGCCTAGAGTTGACCGTTTGTTTCCTAATCTGTACCTTACCACCCAGCATCCTTTGAGACACAGGTGGTGGAGCCGTAGGTACGAGCTCAGGTGGCCCACTTGTGAGAAGATGCTTAAGAGTCTGGGTGTGTGGACTGGCTGGATCCTAGGGTGCCAGACTGTCTGGTCTGGGAAGAGCAACCTCAGAAAGGCAGCCCTGCAACAGTCATGTAGTACCAAGATCTAGAGATCTGAGGTTCAGTCCTTGTCAGAAGGACCAGGTGGTGGTAGCTCAAGCAGGTCTCTATGTCTGTGCAGGGAACTCTGCAAGGCTTATTATAGCTTCCTCCCAAGTCCCTTGAGGTGGCTGGCTTGGGGAGCTGGTTGTGTGCTGCCCTCTGCTGGCTGGACAGCCTCCCTGCCCATGGCTTCAAGACTCCTGGCAGGGAAAAGGACCATAGGGGAAGGAGACCAGCGTAGCGCCCATGCCTTCCTTGGGGGAAGAGTTGGGGATATATCTGGCCTCCAGGAAGTTGTGGGTGAGAGCACAGTACTGGGGTGGGGGTGGTCTCAGTTGCTTACAAGGACTGAGCAACCTGGCACCACTGATGAAGATAGACTCTCGGAAAGAAAGTGTAGTAGTTATCAACAAGGTTGAGAAGCCAGAGAAGAGGCCATAAAACTCCCATCTCCCCGCAACCAGGGCCAGCTCGCCCCCTCAGGAACCCGCCACCCTCTGCCCCACAGCTCCATAGCCAACCTGCACCTCGGGGACCCCTGCAGCCCAGTGGGGCTGGGGGGAAACCAGATGGGAGAGAGAGGAGGTGCAGAATGCAGAACTCTATCTCCCCCAGAAAAGGGTGCTCTGGATTCCAGGGAGGCAGAAGCAGTAGACGCCCCAGTGCAGGGCGAGACGGAGGGACAGGAGGGACGAAGGGGGGGAGCAGTAACCACCACCAGGACACTCACGTCCCCCAGACTCAGTGCTGGGGTTAAAAAAATAACAAAGAACACACCTCTTTTTATATAAGGTTTCATATTTAATTTGGTCATGAATTCATAAATACATTGAGTATTTTGTACGCACTGGCCTTCCTTGTATTGTGTAACATCCTGGACATGGTCCCGAGGTTAGACTCTGAGGCTGGTAAACAGCAGGGGGAGCACAAAGCCTGCTGTGGGTACAGGGAACAGCAAAGCTGGGGTGCAAAATCACGTAGCTACACTGACAGCCACGGACTGGGGATTCCATTGTCATTGTCAAGCACAATCCGCCACGGAGGCCAATACTTTATGGTCTCATCTTGTCAGCCCCTTCCAGTTGGGGCCAGGCTTTGGACACTTGGGGCTAGAAAGGTTCCCCAAGCCCTGGGAACAGTCATTTCCATAAAACCGAGTAAGACAAGACTTTGCTGGAAGGGCTGATACTGAACACAGATTTAGTTTATCGTGTTATTTTTTAAGAGGGTGATAGTAGGGTTTGAATTCAGAGTTGAATTTGCTTGGCAGGCTCTACCACTTGAACTGCAAGTATATACCATAGTGTAGACTGTGCTTACCGACTGAGATGAATTCTCACTGATTTCATTTTTTGCTAGGGCTAGCCTCAAGCAACCATCATGTCATGGTCTCTCTCTCCCCCTAGGAGCTGGATTCCAGGTATGAATCCCTGCAACTGGTGCTGAATGAGATGTAAAAACAGAAGAAAGAGCCAGGACCTGATGGCTCATGAGTCATCCTACTCAGGAGGCTGAGACTTGAGGATTGAGGTTCAAAGCCAGCCCAGATATGAAAGTCAGTGAGACTCTGCAATTAATCACAGATACCAAAAAAAGGAAGGGAGGGGGAGCTGAAAATAAGAGCTCTGCTTCAAGTGGTAGAGTGCTAGCTTTAAGCAAAAAAGCTCAGGGACAGTATCCAGATCCTGAGTTCAAACCTTACGGTAGGCATAAATAAAAGAAAGGAGAAACATCAGAATCTGAACATGTTGGCCATTCTGAGTCTCACCGTCATAGTATTTAAGAATTGGTGTTTCAGTATTGTTCACAGAAGTCATATGGCTACAGAGGGCTATGGTCCCCAAATAGGAACCAAGAATGGCTCTGGGGTTCAGATGGGAAGCACCATCTTGGTCCTGTGTTAGCAAACACTTCACATTTACAAGCCTTCCCCATTGGGACCATGGTAGTCGTCGGGAACAGATCCCTGGCTCTTTGCTGGGAGGCCAGACAGAACCAGTTCACGAACACACATTGGGTACAGCATATAACACAGAGATTACTCAGCACTTCCAATCGGATCCTTCTCCCGCCTCCTCAGCTCGGCAACAGAGGAAGAGTGGAAGTTCAAGAACAGTTACATTAGCTCTCTAGAGGTAGAGAGCCAAAAACACATCATTTTATGAAATGTGACACACACCTGTAATCCCAGCATATTTTCGAGGCTGAGATAGGAATAATGTAAGCCCCAATACAACCAACCCATAATGAATAAATATAAAATTGTCCGTTTTGTAATACTGGTCTGAAGTTATCCAGCTAGAGTTGAAGAAAACTGGATGAAAACAGTAAAATACTACAGAGGAGGAAGCTACTGCTTTCTCCCTTCTATATTTTCTGCTTCTATTATTACTTAACCTAGCTAAATAACCCTGTAAACAACTTAGCAACTGTATTTTAATACACCTGTTCATACAAATACAGAAAACATAAGTAATCAATAGGCAACATACATACCCATCCATAAATAATAGATAAATAAAAAATAAGATAAATCTCACATGCCACAATCTTCTGTAGCTCAGCCTTACCAATAGTTAAGATTAAAGGCATGATCTACCAGCACCTGATGGTTGTTTTGTTTTCCTAGACAGGTTTTCATTAAGTGGCCCCTGCCTCAGCCTTCCAAGTGCTGGGATTACAGGCATGACACCAAACGCAATACGTAATTTCTATTCAGATAATAAGTACTATGAAAAAACGCTAACACTACTTCCGACACATTTACATTCATACAGGTGTGCTCTCCCCACTAAAAAAAAAAAAGACTTCATTTTCAGTTTGCTTAATAACTTCTTGAAAAAGTGATAACATCCATTCCAGTGGAATATCTGGTGGATCTATTCTAGGATAGTTTCTTCAAGTCCCGTTCATGTAAACTTTAGATATTGTTCCTAAGATGATGTTTTTGGTTTCTCCAAGAAAAAAAAGGCACACTAGGGAATATGCACCTTCCTGAGGAAATTCTTTCACTTCCGTGAGTTAGCAGAGCTCACATCATTTCGATAGATGAACTTCCCAGAGAGAACCAAGTGGTTCTCAATTGTGTCCCTGGCGAATTTCTTTTCCAGGGTTTCCAAGGCATCTAGCAGGGCGTTGATGGAGGCACGCTGCCCTGTCCATTGTAGCCACTTGAGCAGCATTTCATATAACACATCAGCCGCTGCTCAAGCTTTGGCCATGAGGATGTCATTGTCAGAGAAGCTCCTCTGCCTCATGAGCCTGTCCCAGGTGTTCAACGAAAGGACTTTTCGACAGTAGAGGTAGGGCCACGTCAGGGATAGAAGAACGGACAGGTGAGCTGGAATCATATGGACAATGCTAAATCAGGTCGAGGGAGAGAAAAGGTGGAAATGTATGAGCTTCTAGAGCATGTGAACCTGCTGACACAACCCCTCCCCCAGCTACACCTGTACTCAGGATCTGAGGAAATAATCCTGCCCCAAGATGCACGTACAGCATGGGGGGGGGGGGGGGGAAAACGTGTGTCCAAACACCAGTGGCTCATGCCAGCTACTCAGGAGGCTGAGATCTGAGGATTGTGGTTTGAAGCCAGCCCAGGCAGGATACTCCATGAGACGGTTATCTCCAATTAACCAGCAAAAAGCTGGAAGGGGAATTGTGACTCAAGTGGTAGAATGCCAGCCTTGAGTGAAAAAGCTAAGGGACAGCACGCAGACCCTTGCTGAATGATCTGTTCATGAGGAGCTCAGAGGCTTTGATGGAGGAAATGAGACTTGGAGGAAGTCAGAAACACAGGGGGGGGGGGGAGGGGGGGGAGGACGTCGCGGGGGCATGGACACGGAGCTGACATTTTCCAACAGCCTCCCTGAATCAGTGCCAAGCAACAGGGGCATTCATTTGGACCTGACATCTTCCTTGACGCAATACATCCAAAATGTTATCGTTCCACCCTGCGATCAGCATTGAGATCCAGGTGGCAGTTTCCTTTCTTTTTCTTTGCCTCAAGTCTTTGGAATCTGGTTTGGGGCTTACCCTGCAGCTCACTCAACTGGGCCTAGCCACAGGTCAGTCAGGAGCTCAGATGCCTCCTGGGAACAGTGGTACCACAGAGAACAGACCAGCTTTCACTGGGGCTAAACCCCAGCAGAAGGGGCTGTGAGAGATTGGAGGGACCAGAAAGAGGAGGACAGGAGACTTACGGTTCCCAATGTCCAGCACGGAACCCTCAACACCCAACACTGACTGTCATGGGCGTCTTGTCAGCTATGGGCATGAGAACTCTGTTGTTTTTTTGTTGGTGGTGGTGGTGGTGGTGGTGGTTGTGGGGCTTGAACTCTGGACCTGGGCTCTGTCCCTCAGCTCTTCAGCTCAAGCAAGTGCTCTACCACTTGAGCCACAGCACCACCGGTTTTCTGGTAGTTTATTGGAGATAAAGAGTGTCTAGGACTTTCCTGCCCAGGCTGGCTTTGAACCGTGATCCTCAGATCTTAGCCTGCTGAGTAGCTAGGATAACAGGGTGAGCCACCCGCGCCCAGCTCTCAAGCATTAATCATGAACAAACATGCAGAGCCACGGCATGCCTGCACTGCTCTAGGCCTGGGCAAACACGAGGTAGATGGTTCTGCAGAGCACTCAGCCACCCACTATGCCACCCGCAGCCATCCTGGCCAGTCCTTGGCTCCCTCAGACTAGTACCTCCTGCCCACCATTTACCAGCAGAACATCTGCCTCCCCTGGGGACTGTTCATCAGCATTTGTCATTGGGTTTTCTCCTCTCGTTTCTTGCTCAACAGGCAGGCTAGAGGGCAAAGGTCCGCTGCTTAGCGTCTCATTGTTGTTATTATCCTCAGATTTTCCTGTGGAATGCGGGGAACAGATCTTGGGAAAATAAAGAGGAGACTCAGAATTCCACATCTAGGGCTCCATGCCGGGTCCTCCCCCCCTCCCCCCACGTGGGTCACGTGAAATGGGGACATGCTCAGCTAGCCATGCATGGTCTGCTGCTGTCACCAGGACCCTGGGGCTGTAAACCCCCTCTCCAACTCCCAGGGCGGGATTGTGTCCTCATGTCTCCCCCCTAGCAAGAGGACACAATGACAGCCCGCTGGGAGCTCAAAAAAGTCCTCCAGAGCCTCAGGCCACCCATGAGAGGGGCAGCAGGGCGGCAGGTTGGCAGGTCAGCAGCATAGGACGCACGGTGCCAAGCCCTCCTCTGAGCTGGGACTGTGGAGCAGCAGAGTACTGGGCTTTTCCCACAGGACTCACTGTGCTATGGAGGGAAGTAGTTCCTGAGCTCCACATCTGCGGGGGCAGGCTATCCATTTCACCCTGGCCTGCAACAGAAAGGGGGAAACTGCCTTTAGTGGGTGGGCAGGGCCAGCACAGACCCCGCCCCCTCCCTAGGCAGAGTGGGCCCACCCACTCTGGGTTAGCTTCCAAATGGGAAGGAGATGGGAGAGAAACTGGGAGTAGAAGTAACACATGCAAGCTAGGCACCCGTGACTCATGTCTGTAATCCTAACTACTAGGGAGGCTGAGATCTGAGGATTGTGGTTTAGAGCCAGCTTGGGCAGAGAAGTCTATGAGATTCTTCTCTCCAATTAGCCACCCAAAAGGCAAAAAGGGGAGGTGTGGCTCAAGTGGTAGAGAGCTAGCCTTGAGCAAAATAACTGATGGAGAATAGGAGGCCCTGAGTTTAAGCCCCAGTACTGGCAATAAATAAAAGTTGGGCACTGGTGGCTTACACCTACAATCCTAGCTACACAGGAGGCTGAGATCTGAGGATTAAGGTTCAAAGTCAGCCTGGGCAAGAACCGTGAGAATCTTACTTCCAATTATCCACCAGAAAACTGGGAGTAAAGCTATGGCTCCAAGTGGTAGAGTGCTAGTTGTGAGTAAAAACAAACTCAGGGACAGCATCTAGGCCCTAAGTTCAAACTCCAAGACTGATGAACAAACAAACATGCCCAATCTCTGGTTTGAGCAACGCTGCCTTATAAGCTGACCACTTCTCTGACCTAGCTGGGGGTCTTCCCTCCAAGACCTGGTTGAGAAGGGTCTGGTGAGATTCTGGTCTAGTGTTTTTTGGGTAGTGACTATGTGGCCGATCACAGAGAATAGGAGAGAGTCAGGCTGAGAGGACATGGGTTTGAAACAAAAGGGAGGGTACTAATAGGGGAGACATGGAGCAGGACGGTGGGGGGGGGGGGGGGGGGGGGGGAGAAGGAGGAGGAGGGGAGGGAAGGGTAGCGAGAAATCTGGGAGCAACACTTACCTGGACAGAAGACCTTAATATAATGAGATATTTTTTCTTTCTTCCAAACAATCACAGTGCCAACTATTATCACACATATGAATACAATTAAGATCCAGATAAAGATCCAGATAGAGGAATGATTACTAGGAGTTTTCGTGGTGTTGGTCACTGGCTCTTCAAGAGCTCTGGTGCCTCCGGTGGCCTTGGGGACACACTTGCGGTCACTCAAGGGGGTACAGGGGATCTCCTCATCCTCCTCATCGGTGCACCTGGGTACACACAGGGAGGAAATGGTGGGATTCCATGAGCAAAGACCAGCCAGGCGGGACAGAAGAGAAAGTCACTCTGCCTGCCCAATGTCCATAGAGGAGGGGCAGACTCCTCATGTCTGCAGGGTGCCCCCCACCCTGAAGACTGAGAAAGGAGGGCCTGAATCCCTCGGAGCTCTGGGTCCATGGGTTCCTCAGCTTTCAGTCCTTCTCTGCAGCAGACCCTGAGATAAGAGGTGTCTCACTCCAGGGGGAGATCACAGGCACTTTTGACCACCATTTAGATACAGCCCCTGCCTCAGTGTTGTGTGTGTGTGCGTGCTAGTCCTGGGACTTGAACTCAGGGACTGACCATAGTCCTTGAGCTTTACTGCTCAAGGCTATCACTTTACCTCATGAGCCACAGCTCCACTTCTGGTTTTTTTGGTAGTTAATTGGAGATTAGAGTTAATGGACTTTCCTGCCTGGGGCTGGCTTCAAACAGCAACCCTCAGATTTCAGCCTCCTGAGTAGCCAGGATTACAGGCATGAGCCACTGGTACATGGCCCTCGTCAACTTGTAGTACAGCTGATCTTCCTACCAATCACGCAAACACCAAAGGGTCAAAAAAGTAATTAACTTTTGGCCCCTAATGTCAAAAACAGGAACAAGATATATCTTAAGGGATCGGGAGCCTGGAGTGAGGCTACCTCAATGGATCAGGTTCTTCTGAAAACCTTGAGGGATGTGAACACAAAGCCTTATTATGACTTTTATCATAGCTATCTTCATAGTCCTCTGTATATACAAGGAAGGATTAAAAATCACATATTCCAATGGAATTGGTGTACATATTAACAGAATACCAGCAGTATTCTGCTCGTTCTGTGTGTACGCATGCCTATGCCAGTACTAGGGTTTGAACTCAGGGCCTGGGCCTTAGCTATTTTTGCTCAAGACTGGCATTCTACCACTGGAGCCACAACTTTTGGGTGATTAACTGAAGATAAGAATGTTACGGACTTTTCTGCTCTGGCTGGCTTCAAATCACAATCCTCAGATCTCAGCCCCCTGAATAGCTAGGATGACAGGTGGAACCTAGCTCTACTCATTCTTTTTGAAGGTAATTAAATCATGTCTTAGGGCTCATCCAAAGTTTAGGGGGCCTTAAGTCCTAGCCTCCTGTAGCTAAGGAACAAGTCACGTGGTCAAAAGGGAAATGGCAGGTGGAGGGTTCCAGGCTCAGAAGAACTCCAGGGGGTCAGGGAAAGGGGTATAAGGAGATGTGGGTCTTATAGAACTCCAGGATTATAAGAGCCCCCAGCTCCTTCATCTTACTTATCTCGACATCTCTGGCAGAATTCAGGGGTGTTTTGTGTCCGGAAAGTGCCAGGTTTGCATTCGCACACTGTATTAGAGGTTGTGGTGCAAGGACTCTTCTGTACTTGATCTGGAGACAGGGCAAAAGTATGAAGGATGAGCTTCTCTGGTTGCCTCGATGCCCTTCCTCAAGGCATACCCCCACCGTCCCCAATTCAGCTCAGCTGAACATAGGAAATAATTCTTTTTTTTTATTTTGGGGGGGGGGTCCGGTCTTGGGGCCTGAACTCTGGGCCTGGGCACTGTCCCTCAGCTCTTCAGCTCAAGGCTAGCACTCTACCATTTGAGCCACAGCACCATTCCAGCTTTTTTCTTTTTGCTTATGTGCTGCTGAGGAATCTAACCCAGGGCCTCATGCATACAAGGCAAGCGCTCTACCACTGACCCACCTTCCCAGCCCCATAGTAAGTAATTCTTAGGGCCACTTTCTGCAGCAACTCATACATATAGGGTACACAAAGGACATTCCCTCTCTGCTATCACCAGTATGCAGGGCTACACAAAAGGAATATGATTATTGTTTACTGTGTTGCCTCTTGTAGGAAGTCTTTTAGACCGACCACAAGGTCTAACACAAATCATCTCTGAGCTCCAGGAAAGAGAAATGCCCTCAGGTGACCTCTCTACAGCCTAGCACTGCTGGAGATCAGGGAGAGATAGACCTTAGGATATGAAGGCACCGAGGTAAAGAGAGCCTTGCACCTGCCAGAGACTGAAGACAGCCTGGCTCAGGGACAGCTATGAGACCCAGCCTTTTCCACTCCAACAGATATACATATGTAGGCCTAAGATGGGAGTTTCTATGAAAGATTTTTGGAAAGAGAGGCCTGAGGTTAGGGAGAGTCTTTTTTTCTGTTTTCGTTGCTGTTGCTGCATTTGCTTTTGCTCATTGGCTAGTACTCTACCAACTAAACTATGACTGCTCCAACCCATGTCCCTAGGCTTTGTTTTTTGGCCAGTCCTGGGCCTTGAACTCAGGGCCTGCACACTTTCCCTGAGCTTTTGCTCAAGGCTAGGACTCTCCCACTTGAGACACAGTGCCACTTCTGGCTTTTTCTGTTTACATGCTACTGAGAAAGCGAATCCAGGCTTCATGCATGTTAGGCAAGCACTCTACCCACTAAGCCACATTCCCAGTACTCCTTGGGCTTAACTCAAGGCTAACACTCAACCACTAGAGCCACAGTACCACTTCGGCTCTTTGCTAGTCAAGTCAAGACTCCCATAGACTTCCCTGCTTGGGCTGGCTTCGAACCACAATCCTCAGATCTTAGCCTACTGAGTAACTAGGATTACAGGTTTGAGCTACCAGCACACCAAGCAAGAGTCTGACCCAATGAGGGTCTCTTCTTCCATATCCCTCTATCCTCCCCTTCTGTGTCCAAATGGATTCTGGTCAAATGCAAAGCAGACCAATGTTGGAGGTGACTTGTAATCTGCCAACGTATCCAAAATCCCTGGCAGGGTACAGGAGACTCAGGGCAGATCCATAACTGAGTTCAGTGGGCAGCGCTTCTGAATGCCCTGGTCTGTTGAGCTCTACCCTTCCACTGCAGCCTGCCTCAGCCATGTTGGATGGCCTCTCTCCACAGTAGCCCACGGCTGCCTCTGAGTCCTTACACAGCTGGCCCTCCTGGAGTGCTGCCTGCCTGCCCTGTGGTAAGCTGGAAGCCAGGTCTCTGGGAACACATCAGTTGAAATTCCCACTCCAACATCCCACTCCACCATGCCCCGGGGCCTCTGGCTCTTACCTCCTTTACAGACTAAGCAGCTCCTGCATCTATCGAGGGAATTATTGTGACTGGTATAGTCCTCGCCAGCTTTACACGACAAGCAAACCTGCCCTGATAGATAGGAGCCTGAAATGCAGGAGAAAAAGCAGTGGGTGAGTGGATTATTGCTTCTGCATCTACTATACACCTTATGAAAGCCCTGCTGACCAGAAAATAAGGGAAGGGACATGTGAGGTTCAAATTCTTAGCGTCTGTATCAACACAGGGAAAAAAAAAGCCAAGTTCCCTTCACAATGTATTTTTTGGCCTCAAATCTCCCAAATGTTACCCTTTCAACCTAAAGCCTATATAAAACACTGAAGGTTTTTTTAAATACTGTTTTCAAAATCTAATATACTCATAATATTGGCAACCTAGAATTAATGTGACACACTGAAAAAAGAAGCAAATGCTTAAGGTGAAGCAGGCCAAGGGAAGGAAATAACCTAGGTCAGAGCAGAAGTGAACAAAATAGAGACTAGAAAAACCACCAAGAAAATTAATGAGACCAAAAGTTAGTTCTCTGACCAGATCAACAAACTTATACCAGCCAATGGAGCAGGGAAAGGTTTTCTTTTTGATTAATTGTAGGGCTTGAACTCAGGGCCTGGGTGCTGTCCTTGAGCTTCTTTGTACTCTAGGATAGCACTCTACCACTTGAGCCACAGCGCCACTTCTGGTTTTTGAGTGCTTAATTGGAGATGAGAGTCTCATGGGGACTTTTCTGCCTGGGCTGGCTTTGAACAGCGATCCTCAGATCTCAGCCTCCTAAGTAGCTAAGATTACAGGTGTGAGCCATCAGCACAGGGCTCCAGGGGAAGGTTTTGAAAGATACAAATTATTAGAATCCAAAATAAGAGGATGGCCATTCCTACTGAATCACAGAAATGAAAGGGTGCACAATTCTATGAAACTCTATACAGACATCTGGGATCTCATGTGGGGAGGATGGAGATTTAAGTGACTGTAATTAACCTATCCGGTGCCTCACCCCATTGAGGAAGGCCATCTGTGATAGCTACAATTGTATTAAAGTCCTGGAACATGCTATTTTTGAAAAAAAACTGTGTTCTTTCCAGTGCCAGGGCTCATGCCTATAAAATTAGTCACTGTGACTATGCAGCAACTTCTTGCTAAAAAAGATCAAGTAGTTGGGCATCAGTGGCTCACACCTGTAATCCTAGCTCCTCAGGAAAGTGAGGAACTAGGTTGAAAACCTGCCTGAACATGAAAGTCCATGAGACCCTTATCTCCAATTAACCAGCAATAAGCTGGATGTTGAGCTGTGGCTCGCTCAAATGGTAGGGTGCTAGCTTTGAACAGAAAAAAAAAGCTCAGGGACTGCACCCAGGCCCTGAGTTCAAGCCCTATGACCGCTCCCCTCTTCCTCCCAAAAAAGAATTGTTTGATCCTGTAGAACTCTGATTATAATTTTACACTCTGAAGAGAATAATCTTAGGATGGTGGTAGTAATTTTTTTGTGGTTTGGATAGTGTTTCTTTTTTCTGTTTTTCTTTGCCTTGGAATGAATTACTAAATGAAGCATATTGTAAGATTCATGAAACAACTTGAATTATGGATTACAAGAGTGAAATGTCTCCTGAGCTTGTCAATACCCGGAAAGGAACAAGCTAGCCTTTGATAATGATCAGAATTTGCTGTATGCTGATGTTTTGAGTAAGTGGCAAAGCTAGCAGACAGGATGGACTACTTCATTCAGGAACCAAAAACCCTTCTCAAGTGATCTCTTGGGTATGTCTTTGAAAAAGTATGCACTGACCAGAAACTTGTGGCTCACGCTTGTAATCCTAGCTACTCAGGAGGCTGAGATCTGAGGATCACAGTTTGAAACCAGCCCAGACAGGAAAGTCTGTGAGACTCTTATCTCCAATTAACCACCAGAAAACTGGAAGTGGCGCTGTAGTTCAAAGTGGTAGAGTGCTAGCCTTGAACAAAAAAAGCCCGAGGAAAGTGCCCAGGCCCCAGCATATGCACATATGCACACATGCACACATGCACACACACACACACACAAAATAATAATTTTTTTATTTTTTGTTGGTTGTGGGCCTGAACTCTGGGCCTGGGCGCTGTCCCTCAGCTCTTCAGCTCAAGGCTATTGCTCTACCACTTGAGTCACAGTGCCACTTCTGGCTTTTTCTGCTTATGTAGTGCTGAGGAATCGAACCCAGGGCCTCATGCATGCAAGCATGTGAGGCAAGCATTCTACCACTGAGCCACCTTCCCAGCCCCAATAATAATTAAAATATTTTTTAAAAATCTCTAGACCCTTAGATGAATCAAAATAGATGAATCTTAGCAGTAAAAATGGAGATAAGTCTTCATAACCCTGGATATGACAACGTGTCAATAACTACTTGTTGGATAAAGGAGCTAGGAATTGCAGGGAACAGAGACTGGAAGAACGTGGAGCCAGGGTAGTGTAGAAGACTAGGGGGTCAGTCTTAGGAGATACCTGGTAGACATTCTTCCATGGGTCTCGCCATCGAGTCTTGCAGGGCGGCTGGTTGATGGGGCAGTGGAACAGCTGTGGCTAGGTGAGGCTTGATTTGTGGAGAAAACACAGAACCTGGTATTAGTGTCTTCTAGGCCTCCTCTCACTTCTATCTCACGCTCCTTCCCTCCCCCCACCCTCAGCCTTCAAAACTAACACAGAACTTGGATCATTTTCCCTGTTCTAAAACTTTTAACCAATAAACAAATATAAATATATAAATAAATACTAACAACCAAAATGACAGGGTCACAGCCTAATTGCTAGAATACCAGGCCCTGAGTATCAGTATTCAGTCCCCAGTATCACAAATTAGATTGCATTTATAGTATACTATCATATATAATTCTACTAGCTGACCACATATGTGGATGTCTCTGTCTCATGTAAATACACTTAAAAAATTGCAGCCAATCGGGGCTGGGAAGGTGGCTCAGTGGTAGAGCGCTCGCCTTGAGCTGAAGAGCTGAAGGACAGAGCCCAGGTCCAGAGTTCAGGCCCCACGACTGGACACCTCCCAGAAAAAAAAAAAAATTGCAGCCAAATATACATCAGACAAAATTCCTATCTAAATGATTTTAAATAGGTTAACTAGGTTTAAATAGGTTAAAGATGCTTAGCACATTCACATACTGATGAGCAAACATTATCTACCACGCCTATGTTATGTAAAACAGTCTACATTCATTAAACCAGTGTTTCTCCATACCCAAACCTTACTTCCTGTTGTTACCTTATGTAAGTGGAAAGTGTTCATGTTTTTGTGGCTGGTATTTTTTCACTCAGCCTAAGGTCTGTATGACTCATCCATAGAGTGCCTTGTGTTAGAAAGTCCTTCCTTTTTAAAGCTATGTGATTTTCTATTGTTTGTGTTGACCACAATGTTTCTCTATTCACTTGTGGATAGACAATTGAGTTGGTTCTGCTCTTTGGCTGCTAGGAATAATGTTCCTAAGGCCGTAGGTATATGAAATCTGGTTGAAGATGAGCACCAGTGACTAATGCCTGTAATCCTAGCTACTCAGGAGGCTGAGAGCTGAGGATCATGGTTCAAAGCCAGCCCAGGCAGACAAATTCAAGAGGCTCTGACCAGCAAAAAGCTGGAAGTGGAGGGCATGGCTCAAGTGGTAGAGCCAGCTTTGAGATCATATGGCAATCCTACTTGTAATGATTTAAGGAGCTGCTATACTGTTTTCCACAGTGTTACAATATAGCACAAGGGTTTCAGTCTTTCCATATCTCCACCAAAACCTGTTCCTTTGAGGAGTTTGTTTCTGGGGCTGGTATTGGGACTTGAACTCAGGGCCTGAGGCTGTCCTTAGCTTTTGATGCTCAGAGCTGGCATTCTGCTACTTGAGCCACAGCTCGACTTCCAGCTTTGAGATCCAAGTCTCATGGACTTTCCTGCCCTGGCTGACTTCACAACACAATCCTCAGATCTTCACCTGTTGAGTAGTTAGGATTACAGGTATGAACCACCACACTTGGTTCTTTTTTTTTTTTTTTTCTTTAGTGTTGGGTCTGAGACAAGCTCTCAGGCTCACGGCGTGGCCTGGGCTGGCTGCAGGAAAAGTGCAGTGCAGAAGTTGTAAATTAACCTAGAGGGATCCTAATCTGTGTGAGCTGGCGGAAGTACTCATCTCCGAGTACAAAGCCACAAGCCCTCAAGTCACAAGACTGCTAGTCCCCACCCTACCCTAACAGAGGTGCTGAGAGAGCAGAGCCCTCAGAGCCTTCTAGGGCCTTCCAGAGTCTTCCACTCTTCACTTGTGTCCCTCCCCCAGGCCAGACTTTCCTAGGGTTCTTGCTTCCATGACATGCATCACCTTGCTGGCATGGTCCCTCCAGTCTCTTCACTGACATTGACCTTGAGGTCATTTATGTGCACCCCACCTGCTGGCAAATCATATTGCCCTAAGAGGGAAGGGGTGCCACAGGAAGTGCTGGGTCTTGTATCTGATTCTCCACTGATCTTTACACAATAAATGAGTAACCTGGGTTCTTAGATGCCCATTCTAGACAGGCGCCAGCGGCTCACATCTGTAACCCCACCTACTCAGGAGGCAAAGGAACTGAGGCTCCTGGTTTGAAGCCAGCCTGGGCAGAAAATCCAAGGTGAGAGTCTTATCTCTAATTTACCAGCAAAAAGCCAGAAGTAGAGCTATAGCTCAAGCAGTAAAGTGCTATTCTTGAGCAGAAAAGGCTAAAGGACTGTGTCCATGTCCAGAGTTCTAGCCCTGCCACCGACAAAAACGAAACAAAAAACAAACAGAAAAGTACATTATCTGTAATAAGCTAAGTGTTCTTTTTCAATGTCTTTAGTTTCTGTTAAGCAAGGTATACGTGTGTGTGTGCACATTCATGGGTGTATCTAAAACTGCACATGTAAAGTCATGTATACACAGATAGTTTTTTTTTTTTTTGGTCCGGTCGTGGAGCCTGAACTCTGGGCCTGGCGCTGTCCCTCAGCTCTTCAGCTCAAGGCTAGCGCTCTACCACTTGAGCCAAAGTGCCACCTCTGGCTTTTTTCTTTTTACTTATGTGGTACTGAGGAATTGAACCAGGGCCTCATGCATGCAAGGCAAGTGCTCTACCACTGAGCCACCTTCCCAGCCCCACACAGATAGTTTTATAAGTAAAAGTCAAATCATGTATTTTCTCAAGTCTAATTTTAACGTTTGCTTAGTACCTTTATACAACTACCTGTTCTTTAGGGGGAAAGTATGGAGCTGTCTTCCCAAGTGAAAATGTTTTGCAAACCAGATAAATTTTATGGTTTCTTTGTGTCACTTCTGTGTCTGTCCCATAAACTGAAAAGCTAAAAATAACTGCATTTTAAAGCAGTAACCCTTCTGCTGCTCATATTAACCTTGGGCCAACCTGAATTTCAGAAACGATCTTGTTTGTGCTGAAACTGCTAAACCATAGATTACTTGAACAAAGCTACTCTGAAGTCAGGCCTCACTTTGTACTATAGCTGGCCTTGGGTTCCCACAAACTTCAGGAGATGACCATGCTGGACCAAGATAAATGGACCCTGCGAACAAACCCAGACCACCAATTATCCCAGCTACAGCTTATCAGAACCCAACCAGCCAGGAAACTCCCTGCTAAGCTTTAACTGCTCTGGAATGTCCAGGTGGCCCTTTAAGACCCAGCCAGTTTGGTAACTCCCTACTGTGTCTGCTGACACAGTTGCTGTAAATTTGCCAGTCTGTGATTTCTTTTTTTTTCTTCTCCTTTTGTCACTTTGTAGGTTTTGCCTTTATAAACCCTGTGAAATTTCAGCTCGGGGCTTCCTCCTAAGCTCTGCTGAGTAGGTGTGTAGGACGAAGCCCGAGCTGCAGCCCGCCTGAATAAAGCCTTGCTTTTGCATTTCAGAACGTCTGACTCTCAGTGGGCTTCTTGGTGAGGGTCCTGTGACGGGGGTACAACATATTAGTGGGGGCTCATCCAGGATACCCCCAAAGACCCCCGAGACCCCAGACTCCGAAGGTAAGAAAACAGCGCTGTTAATTTGTCTTGTCCTGTTGTTTGTCTGTTTTACTTTCGTTTTCCTTCTGAGGACGGCCACTCCCATCTGTATTTGTGAAGGGTTGTAGAAGCAGACGGGCTGGTACTTGCAACCCTGGAGGAACTGGGAGAACTCCCAGATCCTCCTCTGAAGGGAGACCCTTGGAACCCCACTGTAAGACTTGTAGGGCGCAAGTCAGTTCGGTTTGGGGACGGTCAGGGAACTGACCGGGAGGGTCTCCTAACTGAGGCCCAACCTGCCCAATCTGGGTCTGCTCCTTCTGTATGTACTTTAAAGAAGTCAGTGGACCAATCTGGGAGATCTCCACTCTGTAAGTCTTTTAACTGGCAGGCCTGTGTGTGGTTTGTTTGCCTGGTACCATTTGTTATTTTGTGGACTGTATGACTGATGGAACTGGAAACAATGGGCAATACTCCATTTAGCCCCCTAGACTTAACCTTGGTACATTGGAAAGAAGTTAAGGAGATAGCTCAAAATCAGAGTGTGGCTATTAAGAAGGAAAAGCAGATTGTTGTCTCTTGGAAATTTTCTCTGGCATCTGCGTGACTTTCCACACAGCGCAGAGCTTGTTTCGTGCCATTTGTGTCTGTCTTAATTATGTTTCTTTCTTTGTTTAATGAAACTGCCACTGACACCTGCAAGTGGCACTGACAAGATCTCAGCCTCAGGCCTTGGCTCAGGGGGTCTGAGCATGGGGGAGAACCTGTCGGTCTGAGGGGACGGCCACTAGGGACTTCTTTCCCTTGCCCCAAGATGACTGGGAATTCTCCTCCACCTTGGAAGGCCCCGGGGTCAACATTTGCAGGAATCTAAAAAGAAAAATTCTCTGGAATGAGTAGAGGGGGTTTGAGTCCCTTGGTAAGTGGATTTGAGATGTTGCCCCGTTCACTGAGACCTGATTTTGTCTTTGTGGCTACTTGTTTGTCTTGTTTACTTTAGTGTGTTTGTCCGTTCTATGTTTTCTGAGGTAGGAAGTTCTGGGTGAGCGTGGCAGTACACTCAGCAGACTCTGGATTCAGCTTGCTGAGTGAAAACAGCACAGAGTTCTGGTAGAGATAAAGATAAACTGGGGCCCATTAGTCCCAACTCAGCCTTTGGTTCTTGTCTAGTTCTGTTAGAATTAGTACCAGTATTAAATGTGGATCCTTGGTTTTTGTGTTTATTTGTGTTTGTGTTTTTTATTTGAACATCTCTGGGGGAATAAAAGTTCCAGCCAGCTGGGCCGGGTCACAGACCTGCTATGCCCCCCTCCCCGTGAGGCCTGGTAGGTGGCTGGGCTAGTTTGGTTCCCTTTAAGCCTCAGGCTGCATTTTCTCCTTGGGAGGATGACAGCAGGGAGGGTGTAGAAGACTGTGTTTGGACTTTTTCAGCTAGTCCTGACAATGTAACAATTTGTAAAGTGCTCTTGTCTAAAATTGGTTTAAAAAAAAAAAATCAGGCCAGTTTAGTTTCAGGTGACCCCCTCCCCCAGCCCTCCTCCAACAGAAGGGATTCAAAAGACCCATTGGTGAATT